CCCCCAACATGACTGCGTCAAGCTGTCACCAGGTTACACTGAGAAGCAGCTATCTCCTGCCCACAGATGGCAGTTCCTCTCCAGGACGCGGGGTTCTGAGTTCTGCCTGCATGTGGCTTTCCTTCGGGTCCTCGTACTTATTGTTTGGTTCCTGGGAACATATCTGAAGAGCCTGCCTTAGGGACTCAAGGGAACCCAAGGGAAACGTTCACTTTGTGTGTCCAGAGTCAGGATCCTTCAAAGCGTTTCCCATGTGAGTTGTGTGCTCATCTGGTGGCTCTTGGACAAAACGATCATTTCATTTCATCCTTTTCCCATTCTTGTTCTTTCGAAAGACTTTTGAGGACTTTTTGAGTCTGTGGGCTCTGGCTGGGGGGTCCTCAAGAGCCTGCGGGGAAGTTACTTGCAAGTCAGGAGAGTAGCAGGCTTGGGCAGCCCCAGATCCCTGCAGCGGCCGTTAGGATCGTTATTTAGCCTCTGTTATTATATTTAGTGATGGAATGGGAACATGACGTGCAGGATCTGGGTACAGGTTTAATACCAGGGTTGGTTTGTTACCCGTTAAGAATTTAGGATAAGCTCCAAGTTCAGGAAAGGAAAAGGCAACACCGCCATCTAGTGGCAAATGGGGTGAACAGCGCCCATGTTGGCCTCTGATTCAGATTCAATGGTTCCAGGTTCAGAACTACTTTTTTAGCATCAGAACGAGTCCCTGATCGCATGTGACAGTGGCCTGAGGCAACAGGGGGATTTGTGGGCTCCTTGCCTCTCCAGCCACAGCACTGTCACCACTCAAGGAGCCACCACATCTAAGACTTTGCTGTGCCATGGGTACCATGCTGGACTGGAAACCTGCCTTTCTCCTCCAATCGCCTCACAGCCCCACAAGGGAGCCAGGAACATCAGCATTCGGTGCAGGGTGGTGACAAACAGACCTGCATTCACAGCCAGGCGGAGAGCCCCACTTAACCTTGGGACGGGGGAGCGGGGAAACTTGGGGACACTGTCTAGCTCAGGAGAGGTGGAAGTGGGGCTACAGAAGAGTATGGCTTTTTGATGTCCCCCTTTTTTTGGATTTAAAAGGAACTTCCCCCCCCCGAGACGTCTTAGGTCACAATAGCAGCGCTGCAAGAGCAGGAGCCAGTACCTCTGGGCTCCTTTTGTCAGCAGCTTTACTGGGCTGTCTGGCTGGGAGGCAGGTTGGTGTGGTGGAAAAGCCGACCCCGGCGCTGGTCAGTGCAGGCTCCGCCCTCACCAGCTGCTCAGCCCTCTCTGAGCCTGCTTCCTGATCTATAAATGAGAAACACTCCATCAGGTTTCAGTGTGGAGAACATCTGGCCCAGGGCAGAGATAGATGCTGTGTCTCTCTCCTTTCCTTGATGATTAAGTATTTATTAGCTATTTGAGAAATGCAAATATAATTCAGAAAACAAGAAAAAAGAAAAAAAAAGTTGAGAAAGAGACCTGAGTTCACCTCTATCGATTTTGCTAAATTGCAAATAATGCAGACACTTTCTGTGGTGAATAGACACCACTGGGCTGCTTTTGTTTCTATCTAAAAAGAAATCAAAATGGATTTCATATTCCAATGATCTTAGAATCCAATTAAAAATCAGAGAGATGTTCGCTCCATTTAAGTCTTAAATGAACCTTATGCTTAACTTCAAAGCCCAGAATAAGCTGATGCTTTCAAAATGTTAAGACACCCCCACCCCCGCTTTTTAAGCTACATACAGAACAAGGGAAAAGTGGCCCCCCTCTTGCTGGCGTGTTATGTCCTCCAATGACCAACAGAGGGCAGAGCTATACAATCTTTAGGAGCTCTAGGTCTGGAGGACTTGAAGATCCAGCCCTCAAGAGAAAAAGGAGGGAGCGGGGAGGGAAAGCGGAAAGCAGGCATCAGGGTGACTCCAGCCAGCGAGGCAGAGCTGGTTAGAGGCTTGTTGGATGAGGTACCAACTGGGAGAGATTGGGCCATGCTGCTGAGCCTGGGGCTCCTCAACTGGAAGTGAGGTGCTGTTTAGTTTTCAAGGGGTGGTTAACGATGCCTCAAACACTCATACATACAGTGCTCAGAATAGAAAGTCCTGGAAACAAATTACCCTACTTAGCTACCTTTGTAGAAACTGTGAACAGAAAACTGCCCAACACTCGAATGGCCAAATAAGGGGATGACAGATTCCAGAACCTACATTAAGGTGAGCTCAACGGTGGTCTCTAGTCAAAGTCCAGAAGCATGAACAGTTGTCATAAAGACAGTTAACTAGTACTTTAAATGCTTTATGTACATTGTCTCCTTTGAGCCTCTCAGCAGACTGAGGTAAGTGGTTGCCCTCATTTACAGATGGGAAAACTGAGGCCGAGTGAGGACGGGTGGCTTCCTCCAGGCCACCCAGCTGGGAGGTGGCAGGGCTGGGATTTGAACGGGGCACTGGCTGGAGCCAAAGCTGGTAGCCTCAACCGTGTATGCCACGCAGTGAAAGATGGGGACAGTGTGGTAGTGGTTGCGGGGGGTGAGGGACACTGAGGAGGAGCAGGCTCCACAGGGGTGGGGGTAGAGTATGGCTTCAGCCTTGAACCTGGAGCGCTATGGAGACTGACTACTGACAACAATTTATTGAGCACCTACTATGAGCCTGCCATATTTACTGCTGGGCACTTTCCAGAGGATGATACTGTGGTCAGAGTGGTTGCCAGGGTCCCCTACAAGCAAGTGGGATGGAAACCAGGCCTGGTAGGCAGCGCCTATGTCTGTAGCTACTGCATCCCCCTTGTGATGACATCACCTGGGCAGTGGGTAGCGCCCTCCTGTGGATGTAAATCCACAACGC